GGACGAAACGCGTCACACGAAAAATCCTCTCTCTCTCTCTCTATATATATATATATATATATATATATATATATATATATATATATATATATATATATATATATATATGATTAATGTGGAGAAACTTGTCACTTAACTGAATGGTGTTATTTCAGTCAGGCTGACTTCGAAGTTTCGTGAGCGCATCGCATTGTAATACCTTCGTTCTTCAGGGATATTAAGTGACAAGTTTCTCCATATTAATTCTATTAACGCTCCATCCTAACCTTTCGATATCTAGCAGTTAAGGACAAAAACATGCCTACCTAAACTGCCTTTCCACCAGTAAACTACGGAAAAAGAAACAAAATTTTGGCATCTAATACTCTTGAAACTTATATATATATATATATATATATATATATATATCAGAATATTAGTCAGTAGAATATATATTCGAATAGTTATGTGAAAATGGAAAACTATGTAGTATCACGTTTCGTTTCGAAAATAATATTTCCCCGAAGAAATGCAATAATAACGTTATTTTGTCTGAAGACCTTTTTCTGGGAAAGAAACGCGTCACACAGTTTTACATTTTCGCCTTAATTATCCGTATATAATTCGCACTTTAACAGATTTTTAGCCAAAAAATTAATGTTGCTTATTAAACACACGAAGTAAATATAAACTTTATTACCGATTACCATATTCAGAATCTTATGACTTAAATAAAATCTATCTAATGAGTCCCACGATGTTTAAATCACTAGGCAAACACTGAATTTTTTGCTGTCCGTTCTAAATGTCGCGACAGTTTCGTCTGTGTTGTCAGTGTCGTAGATATCTTTGTCACCCCTTTGATATGATAGTAATATCATCTCCATCTGCAAGAAAGATGACATTTTATTGACGAGTCGTAGTAGTACAATCCGAAAACGTCCAAAATCCGGAAGTTTTTTAAAGGTTGACATGATTTTCCAAAAATGGAAATTTTCAGAAAGCAACATGGCTACCCGTAGCATGATTATTTCTTTGCAGCGTTACAAATAAAATGCTGTCTTCTTTTCAGTTTTCATGACATTTAACTGGATTCAGAATCCATATTTTGTTTTTATGCAAATACTCAGCTTGAAACATTTTAATGAAAAGACGTTATCATTGGTAGAGACTGATAGCTTATTGAATCTTCCTCCTTACACTCACAGTGATGTCATCGACGGTGTACCCTTCCCCCCTCCAGTTTCTCACACCTCATGTAGAAGTAGTTTTTAGTACTGCATTTAGATATGCATTTGTAAGTAGTGGTCATAATTTTTGTACACTTATAAAAAGTACAAAATATTATTTTAAAGTGTAATTAATTTCACCACTTAAAAATCCGTATGAGCATTACATGACTACCGTCATTACCTGTATCTATACGTAGAGAAAATTTATAAAATTTTATATAAAATTACCCCCGAGGTATATGTATAAGCTGTGTTATGAAATGTAAAGGGATATCATGTTTATGCTTGGCTTCCATTCCCAAACTGCCCCGTATTATAGATGCTATATACAAATTAAATAGCCTGTATTCCGAAATCGGAAAAATTGGAAAACCGAAGCACTTCCGGTCCAAAGAATTTCGGGTAAAGGATTCTTAACCTGCAATGCCCACTTCTGTTTGATTCCACAAGAAATAAGCACGAGCCAGCAGAATGTCACCATGTTTAGGATTTGCTTTCTCCACGGTGTAGACTTATTCTCGCTATAAACTTGTAAACATGTCGGTGTGTTTGCTATCAACACTGGGAATTTCACGTTTCAAAACGCAATGAACGCCAATTAAATTCTTACTGTTAGTCGCGATACAAATACGATAAAAGTTGAATCAAGTTTAAAGTGACCCTAAATTTAATTGCTACAAATTCTAAAATGTCAGTGCGTACTATACACGAGATATTTTTCATGATTCTGTGGCAAAAACTTAGCCATATGTATTAGTTTGAGACATAAGTAATTTTCGTTTTCGGGAATCATTTGTAATGACGAATATATATATATATATATATATATATATATATATATATATATGTGTGTGTGTGTGTGTGTGTGTGTGTAAAATACCTAATGTTTAAAATGGATTTTAAAAACGAATAATCATTCTTGAAGCTTTTATTTTATTTTACTTCCAAGCTAATAGGTTAAATTTAATATTTACAATAAGCAAAATATTCGTCGTCATCATCATCATCATAATCATCATCATCATCCCCTTGACTTTTTTAATTGTAGTGCGGATCCGAATGCAGAAGCCACACTCACTCTTTTCCACGACGGTCTATCAACGGCAGCCATCAGCAATTCTGATTCAGTTATACCTATGTATTGTTTTTACATTGGCGTCATCTTCTACATCCACCTTCAACGGTGCTTTGCATGATGGTCTTGCACAGGCTGTTGTGCCTTCTAATGTATCCAAACTACGCCATTTTTCTCCGTTTAACAATGACGAGAAGAGGATCCTGGAGTCCCACGAAACATTCAGCTCTCTTCCGCACAAACTCATTGATTTTTTGTTCCCAATAGACAATGCCAAGAAGTTTTCTAATGCATTTGTTTTTAAATATAAGGTCATTGCAAAAGTCCGTGTCCGAGTGAAAATTATTTTAACAATGAAAATCGGGCACGAACTTTTGCAATGATTTGGTATTTGCTGTTTTAATGAAATATATAAATATATATAATTTAATAAAATTATGCTGTCCCATTAAAAAAAAAAAAAATAATTTCTCAGCGTTCTTTCTTCGTGCGCATGCGTAGATCATCACTTATTAAAAGTAGTTTTATCTTTCTCAGCAAAGAATCGCTTCATGTACCTCTTGATATCCGTTCGTGGAATTTAATTTGTTTTTCTGTTTCACTACCAAAATTCCGTAATGTCATTATAAATAGTAAGATATGTTGAGAATGTGTGGACAGCATAGCGGTTACCATCGAAGAAAATGTAATCGGAGTTCGAATTCTAGCTTGCCTGTTGCATTCACTTTCACGTAAATGTCTTTTGGAAAGGTATAACTCCATCTTTTCTACCCCCAAACATGAGTTAAATTGTGGAGTAGGCTGAGATCCCTAGCGTTGGGTAGTAACATATTTAAGAGAAAAAAAACCCGTAAATTCTATACCTTGGAGAAGGCAACAGGAAATTACTCAACAATATTTCCCAGAAATCCGCAATGTGTGTGTGGCATCTGTCGGTATCGAGAAAATCTTGGATCTATGCCCAAAGAGTTATGCCTAAGCTGCTGATTGAGGCGATCCTGGAGTGTTTTCTCCAGAGCGTAAGCCTGGGGAGGGTATGATGAGAGATCGACGTTTCCCATTCAGTACGTCTCTCCGCACTTAATACCACTTATGTTGTCCAAAGCAAAGGTAGAGTCCTAATACAGCTTGGCACCGGCATCGTCGCAGGATATGCAGAACGAAATTAAACATAGCAGAGGACTGTCTTAGGGACTCCGGCTCCGGATTTGTCCACAGAGTTTACTCCTGAAGCCTTTTCCATAATTGGAAATCAGAGTTTTCTTTCTCTTAGATAGACTTCCCTCCCGGGCTGACGAGTTTCCAGGAAGCCATGGTAATTCATAGATAATAAAGAAAAAAGAATCTGTAGAGAGAGCCATGATACATTCTGAAGCGTCATGCCATTAAAAGAGGGATATGTTGAATACAGTAGATGAATGATGATTTCCGATTTTTATCGATTATTTATTTGTTTAGATTTAAAGTGAAAAAAAATCATGAAGTATAAGTAATCAATTCCTGATACATTCTACCTTCTGACGAGTGGACGGAGTACTTCTCTGAGGGTCCGTCTACGAAACTCTGGAGTCAGGATGATGAAGACAACATCAATCAGCTAAGGGGAAACCGCTTACATATATATATATATATATATATATATATATATATATATATATATATATATATATTATAATAGATGCGTTGGTATAATATAATCCAGGTGGGTCCTAATAATATCAAATATTAAAACTGATCCACAAAGATTGCTCAATGTACTTAGTATAACATAGCATATAAACGACGCAGCAAAAAAAAAAGCCAAATGTATTTCAATCAACGGTAAGCACGTTGGTCTTATTCAACCTTGGTGGATGGGCGTTATTCGTATCGGAATCAGAGATTTAGAAACCTAAAATCTAATTCTGAATAGAACAAGCGTTGATTGAAATAGATCTATATCCAGGTGAGGTAAATTCGTTTGTTATTTTTGCTGTGTAAGTAATATGAAGAAATATAGTCTTAAGGTGTGCTATATTTATAGGATAAAGTGCTCAATATCAGAGATAGAGCGTGTGTAAATATAAAAGTGAACATTGAAGTCAACACTTAGAGGCGACAGGCTGTTTCATGCTAGATGCAATCGTCAGGCCACACACACACACACACACTCAATTGGAAGGTGTTTGTCTTTTGCCATTTCTTTCCTTTTTCTTTGCTTGTTCGTGATTTTTTCGTCTTCTGGTAAGTTGTCTGTTAGTCCCACCAACATAGTTGTTTTTTTACTATATATATATATATGTGTGTGAGAGAGAGAGAGAGAGAGAGAGAAAGAGAGAGAGAGAAAGAGAGAGAGAAAGAAAGAGAGAGAGAGTGAGATGAGGACAATATTTCTCATAAATCAGTGTATAATGCAGTCTTAATAATCTACGTGACTAGAGTATAACTTCTTTGCGTCACGTCAAGGTGCTTTTTAGAAAGTATTAATAATGAATCAAAAAGAAAAAAAGAAGGAAAATTATTTTTAACCCGAAACGTGTCCTTCTTCCAAACCGCCCCGGGTTTGCAATGCACCCTTATTGACAAAACATGTGCTTCTATTTATTGCTTTTCCTTCCCTGTGGTTGTATAAACATTTGTTATTCTTATCTTGTTAGCCAAATAAAGAAATTAAAAAAAAATATGGTAGTATAGTTGCAGGCCTAAAATGGGCGATGTAATGTGAAAGAAAAAAAATGTTAAATTTATCTATTTATGTTGTTGATATGTCGGATCCTCTCTCTCTCTCTCTCTCTCTCTCTCTCTCTCTCTCTTTCGCCTACTCTATCCCTCCGTTCACTATCTTTCTCTCTCTCTGTCTTTCTCACTCTCTCTCGTTCAATCTCTTTCAGACCCCCTCTATTTCTCTCTCCGTTCACCCTCTCTCAATTTCTCTACCTCTCTCTGTTCACTCTGTAGGTATTAATCTATCCACATGAACTTTCTCTATTTTGAATTACTAATAAAAACATCGTCTCATATTCACACCTCTCCCACTTTCAAGCTCTTCGTCTCTTTCTTGATATATCTTTCACTGTATCTATCTCAAGTTGTTTCCGGTTGGTTTGTGTGGAAGACTCTCTCTCTCTCTCTCTCTCTCTCTCTCTCTCTCTCTCTCTCTCTCTCTCTCTCTCTCTCTCTCTATCTATCTATTTCAAGTTGTTCGTATCTCAGGGTGTTTGTGTCTTTTTTATATTTATGACTCTCTCTCCCTCTCTCTCTCTCTCTCTCTCTCTCTCTATATATATATATATATATATATATATATATATATATATATATATATATATCAATTCTAAATAGGGGTGAACTTCACTCCCAGTGGGTGAATTTTGAATTTTAGGCGTGAATTGTGACCACAGTAAGTTTAGGGTTGGTGAGGAAAAAGAGGAATTATTAGTCTGTTCATATCTATTATCTATCTCAAGCTTTTTGTCTATCCTTATGTTTATGACTCTCTCTCTCAATATATATATATATATATATATATATATATATATATATATATATATATATATATATCACTCTGTTCATATCTATCCATCTATCTATCTATCTATCTATCTATCAATCTATCTCAAGCTAATTATACCTCTTTATATCCATGCCTCTCTATCTCAGTCCGTTCATATATATATATATATAAGTTTGATCATATTTCCATTTGTTCACATGTATCTATATCACCTCCAAAAATCTAAAATCGGGAAGCTGATCTCTCCTAAGATCTTGCTCAAACAGCCCAATGGAGACAATGAAAACGAACCAATATTTTGTGAAACAGACTCCCGAGTGAATGCTTCTCTGATCGCTACAATCTAAACTTCTTCGAATCTAGGGTCAACGGTTATGAATTATACAAATTCTCATTAATCTGCACTTAACCATCTCTATATTGAGAGGCTGTTGAGCTTTGTACTGGGTGATCTTTTAGAAAACTTCAGGTTATAATTGTGCTTGTCACTCACTTCGTTAGTTAGCACAACCGCTACGCCCTGCCAATACCTCATAAATAATGGACTATTCCATTTTGATCACGTGGACAGAAGGGAAAAGACATCACTTGGTTTCAGTAAGAAAAAGAAAGATAGGGAGATAGACGTGTTTAACTCTCCTGCCAATTCCTTATAGATAATGTCCTATTCTTTTTTGATTGATGGAGAAACAAAAACACATATCAGAGACGCTACTTGCTGCCAGTGAGAAAATTTTAAAAAGAAATAAAGAAGGGACGATAGAATTGTTTAACGGCTGTTTCAGTAAAACAGAAAAAGTTGTTAATTTCAAATCTTTTCATTTGTACCCCCTTACTTCTTAAACTAACGATCGGCATTCATATTTATGATTGTTATTGCAATAATTTGTCAAAGTTGTTAAGCTCAAAGATATAACCACGTGATAGGGGAATTTCTACGGATATTTTATTGTTGTAGAACTCGGCATGAGATTACTCAATAATTAACTTAAGAATGAATATTTATCAGAAAATTAAAATAGAAAAATCGTGTGATTTTCACGGGTTTTTCTACAGGATGCCCATTAAAAAAAAAAGTTGTAAATTTATTTAACAATCATGATTCATGCATAAACTGAACAATCAACTTAGATGTTCGAAATGTTTGCCTGAAAGTTCAGCACAAAGTTGTAAGCGTGATGACCAGGAGGAGGCAGTAGCTTTACAAATAGTATCAAGAAGAATTTCATTCCAAGCTTCAGTTAAGTTCCACTTTAATGAATCAATATCGACGATGTCACGACAACGGTGAATTAGGAGTATACTGCAGATACAATAATCCATAAAATATCAGATCTGGGATTTTAGAGGATCACTGAGATGTACCAATTAAAGCTGGTGTGTTTTCTCAAAGAATAAATTTGCCGTTATTTTACTCGACACCCTTTAATAATAATAATAATAATAATAATAATAATAATAATATAAAGTTTATTAAAATTACTTTTAAAATCTATACAATGTACAGGAACAAAAATAACCAACTGCCCATTAACCTCGCAAGAAAATGCAAAACATGAAAACAAATCAGCTACAGGGTGCGATGGGTAAATTGTCGACAATTTATATTTTAATTTCGCGCATGTGCGTAGTTTGTTTGTTTTTATTTTATCGGCCGCACATTATTGTAGGGTCAATTGGGTATAGTTTGTGAGAAAAAGAACATGATCCAATTCACTCTGCCAGAATTTTGGAAACGCCAATGCTATACTGCTTGGCATTCGCACCGAAAGCTCCAGTACAAATATTTCAGAATGTTTGGGTGTCAATCTGAAGACAGCAGAGAGGATTTCAGAAAGAGCTGGATTAGTCTAATAGTGAATTAAAAAGATACGGCAGCTCGGAAAACACATTGTGATCGTTCTGAAAGAACTCCCGAATTTGCTGGCGACGGCCGCAGACTCAAGTCTACATGAAGTGGCTTGAGGAGGTAGTGTGGCCCTGTGTCAAAAGGATGGCTGCTGGAAGACCCTATGTCTGGCAACAGGAGTCTGCACGATGCCACACACGCAGGAGAAGCCCTTCATAACTTTCAATTTTGTGACCCCTTACATCTGGCCAACTAAATCCCCAGACTTTAACCCTCTGATTTATTTTCTTGATTATAATTATCTTGATTATTATGTGTGGGCATCAGTTGAGCGAGAGACCAACAAAACTCCTTGTAACACCAAAGGTTAACTGAAGGCAAGAATTATGGCAGCATTCACCAACTTAAACAAGGAGACTGTCCAGAAGAGTTGCAGGAAATTCCGAAGTTATGGAGGCCGTGGTTGAAGCCAATGTCGATTTTATTGAATGAAATTACTCTTCATTATTTCAAGATAGAATATTTCAATGAGATGTCAGTGTATTTTTCATTTTTGCGTCGTTTAGACTACGACAATTTATCCATCGCACCCTATATATATTATATCTGTAGTACATCTTTAAAATTTTATGTCTGATAATCCCAAAGATTTTACAATGATACCTGTAAAGTCATCCTCATTGCGCCAGCTTTCGTGAAAGCATTTGATATTATACAGGAATTGCAATCCTTGTAACGTTTTTGACAAAATCATATACATTCATAGCATAGGATTACTCTAATTGTTTGCAAAAGAACTTCTGCTATCAACTGTTAGAATGCAAAACAGAATATAAGAAAATGGAAGAAAAATATCATCATCTTTTGTTTGCTAGCAAAATGCCTTTAATATAACCTGCGGCTTGCTGTCAGCGAGACCTTTTGGTCCTCATAGAACCTCATGTCGTATTGAACACAATATAAAATAGTAGATCGAATAAAATATTCCTCAGCTCGCTTGACGATACAAAGGTATATATAATCATTTTGCTAAACTCTACAGTTAAGGAAAATCTACTCAATACAAGGCCCAGGAGCCACTCAAAGTAGAGGATTACTGTGTTGAGTTGTGTAAGAAAGAACAAGCGTTAGGAGTACAGAGTTGAAGTAGAATTTAGAAGGGACCAGGAACCCAATCCTGAACGGGGAACAAGGGTTAAACCTCTACTACTGTTCAAAAGATCGGGGAGGAGTGAGTGGAACGTGCTTTGAAGACATCTCTACACACACACACACACACACACACACACACACACACACACACACACACAACGCACTCTACTCCTTCTGTTTAGTTTGCTTAGGTAATAAAATATCACCAAAATTTAAAATACACTGCTATTAATATATACACCATTGGCAATTTTTATTGTTTTTAAAAGGTATTTTAGAATATTAATAAAACTCAAACATATGAAACTGAATTTAAGTCTTCTATTTTTACTGTTGTCAGTTCTCGATAAAAAAAGAAAGAAAAAGCATGATTCCAATTGTATGTGTTTGGGTTTATTAACTTTCTAAAAATGGTTTTCTAAAATAATCAAAATTGCCTAATGACTATACAATTATAATGATGTCAAGAGAAAATCCGTCCTTTTGACAAAAGGTTTATTTCTGTGTTTTATTTTTTTATCTTGTTTTTGTTATTTTTAGTGGGGGGAGGAAATATGTTTGTTAAACATTTGCCAATATTATTTGAATTGTAGGCAGTTTTCTGTATATTCATTTTTACTCTCTTGTTTAAGGAAACTACAATGCTTCCACTAATCTAGTAATGAAAATTACCACAAGAATAATATAGTTATTCAGTCGTTAAATTACTTTTCATAGCTTTCATTGTTGTTACAAGAACACTCATCTCTACCATTCTAAAAGAACAATTTCGTTTTTGTTTCGATGAATTCCATGTGGAATTTTTGTGGAATTTTTTTATTTATTGCAATTACAAGTAACAAACAACAGATTCGTTGGTTGATTTTATATGTCATCCCTTGTTGGCTTTATTCATTGTCGAAATTGAGACTGGGAAATCTATTAAGGATCGAACTCAATACTCAGTCGCAATGGCCAACTAGACGAGCATCGCTAACCATTACCCTGACGTTAAGTCGCCCTGAGACGTTAAAAGTAATAAATACCACCCCACCCCCTTAATGACATGTGTTTTGGAATTTACATCTTTGTAATAGGCAGTGTCACCTAACAAAATCACCAAGCGATTTGCCCAGAATAAAAGGCTTTTCTGTCGTTCAAATAAACCAGCTGTTCACTTTTTCTGGTCCAATGTGTCATGGTTCTGGTAATCCATAAGAGAGGATTGCCCTTAATTCGTATCAAACAGAAAAGGATCTTTTTCCTTATGTCGATTCATGTTGAGTCATTGAAAGTTATACTGGACATATCTGCAGTTATTTCCACTCTTCACCTGAAAATCCTAATTCTCTATGCTTGATTTTCATTTCGGAATTAATTTAAGGCTACTGAATACATGTAAATAATAATATTTTTCAGATAATTCATATACATCATCGGCTGACAGAATGTTTACATTGAATCCATTGCTATGTCAGCTGCTAAGTTGGTTCACTGTCTCCTGCTAGACAATTTTTCTCTCCAGAATCTGTCTTATATATTTATAAGTCAATGCTGTGAATATTGCTGTTATATATGGTCCTATATTTACAGATTCTTCATAAAATTCAAAGAAGAATCAGCGATATTACTGGCCCTGACCTGGCATCTCGGCTTTAGTCACTTTATTATGTCAAAATTGTGGTCAGTTTCGTTAGGGTGGGCAATCGACGCATTACGTAACCTTGATATAAAAAATGCTACTCTGTTCAAAGGAGAAAAAAAATCACTATTACGAAAATATCTAGAGATTGCCTCAATTGCAATGTCATCTACAGTAAATTTGTGCCCGCCCTCTTACATCATTTTACCATTCCTAACAGAACTTCTATTATTACAGTGTTGGGATTATCTACTAAGAAAAGTGATGGAAACAAAATGAATGTAAATGAAATCAGTTAAATAAAAAAAATAATAATTTAAAAAATTTAAATCATATATATATATATATATATATATATATATATATATATATATATGTATTATTTACGTATACAGATGACTGTAATGGAATGGAACAATAGTCTGTATATTCTTTAAAACAAGGAAAATCCTATTGTCTATTTGTGAACGACTGGTGAATTGTGATGAATGAATGGCTCTATAATGAAGTAGCGATCTTCTTTCCAGCGTTGTCCATAAACAATACCAGATAGAATTATTTACATAAAGGCTTTAACTAAAACAGAATAAAAGAAAGAACTATGATTACATTATAACTAATAAGCGATTTCGACAGATTTAATTGCAGTTCCCCTATCCACCTCTTCAACAACGAGCAATGAGTTATTTTTAATACAAAGACTCAGCATTTATTCTAAACTCGTAGAACTATTTTTGGACTTTTCAAAAAACTTAACCGTCAGACATGGCTACTTCAAAATATGCGGTGGGGGGCTGTTTTCATTTATATTCTGTTTTCTTTTTTGATTTCACAAAATCCTCTCATCGCATACCAGATTAGAAATGCGTGGGTGTAAAAAAAATAAAAATGATTCCAAAAAATATACCTGTAGATGATGAATTTGACAAAATGTATGTATAAATGTTTCCAGGAAAAAATAATGCTTCTTCTATCTTTGGTTTTAAAAATGTTGCCTTTGAACTTTTGTACGAAGATGTAAAGCCGAACTGATTTGTACCCCTGAAGAATTTGAGATTTTTTAAAAGTATTTTAATATTTTAATTAAAGGACTTTCTTTTACACTAGCATACATCCTGTACAAGGCCTGAGGGCTACTCAAGGTAGAGGGTTACAGAGTAAGAGGCACGTATATGTGTAGAAGATGACGGTTAATCCGAGACTTAGACAGGTTAAGATTGTAGTGTTCGGGAAACTAACTTCTTGGGAGTCAGTTCCACAGTTTTTCTTTTCTTTTCTTTTCTTCGATGTGGATTGATTAATCAACACACGACGATCCCCCAAAGTGATCAAGACTTATTTACCCAAGACTCGTGATTACGTCAGAGCGGCTCCAAGAACTCGCGTGGAACTTACATCTCACTAATGGAATACAAAGGAAATGAGGGTGGTTCGCTACAATGGGTGTCGCATGGCTTGTCCTAGCCGTAAAGGTCCGGTCGGGTCGAACTAAGGAATCTAGTTCCTCTGAACACACTCCACGCAAATAGCAATCGAACAGCGGGAGGTTTGCGACGTCTCGTCTCTGAGAAAAGGGGTTGCAGAATGAACAATAATGAATCGCTTATGGAGACGCTTTTGAACTCTGTTGAAAGTGGAAAGGGAAGACTGGGCATTTCCCGTTCATATATGGCAGCAGTACTCCATCTTAGGAATGATCTGGCTCTTGTAAAGGTAGAGGATAGCAGGGGGAGTGGGGTTACTTGCTGGCGCGGTACAGGGAATCGGTCATTTTGCCAGCATCTTTTGCGGACCCAAATTGACTGATGAAAAAGAAGAGTGAAAGAACTGATACATTTGGTATAATTATTTACCCGCTGCCCCACACAGCAAGATGTGGCACAAGGCCGAGTTTAAAGTGGGGTATCCGTGCCCGTAGGCTAGGGCCAAAATTCCCTATAGACCACGTAAAAACGGAGTCAGTTTCCCGAGACGAGACTCTGCCCTTCGGCAGAACTTCGTCTGGGGGATGCCCTCTGACATAAGCCAGGTAAGTATACATTTGGTATATGTACAAAAACTAAACAATAAGTATATATTTGGTATATGTACAAAAACTAAATTTCGCATTATTTGCAATTTGATTAAAAAGACATGTTCAAAATTAGTCGTAACCGTATCTTAGTCAATTGTAAATCAGTTATCGGTGCCTGTAACGTTTCTCCTATTTCATCACCAGATACTAACAAGTTCCAACAGGAATTTTGACTCATTTATTTTTCTTTTAAGATAACCTAGACTTGAAGAAGATAAGATTGTAGTGATCGAGGAAGCATCCTCTTGGGAGTATGTTCCAGAAAGCAGAAACTATTAGGGAGACGCTGTCCAAGTAAAACTTGCGTCTTACCAATAGAATGCGAAGGAAATAAGGTTGATTCGACCCTCTGTCTGTGGCATGGCGTGTCCTAGCTGTAAAGGTCTGAACTAGTGGAACTAAGGAACGTAGTCTGTCTGAACATTTGATTCAGATAATCTATTTCTTCTTCGTAGATAAATTGTGTGTGTGTTTGAAACAACAATTTTTTTCAGCGCCCAGATATTTTTTTATTTTTACCGAATTAACGAACTTGTTTGATCAAGCGAGTTGATGTTTTTGAAATCACATCCTACCCACAATGACGCCAAGTTAACAATTTTGGTCATTATCCCCCAATGCTTATTTACGCCCATGACTGACTGCGGGGAAAATATCAATTACTTTGTCTTTTACATTTTCCTACCATTAACCAATGCCCGCACATACGGCCCAATATTCACTCCTAGATTCTAGAGTTCTGCTCTTACAAAGCATTTTCAGCATTTTATTTAAACGCTTCCTACAGCTATGAACACCTACATGACTTTTAGAAACAGATGCAAAACTTACACTTGAAGAAAATAAATTTCTAACAGAACTAAAGGTTTGACAGTGATATTAGTGCCGACTATATAAACTCTTTGCGCTAATTTGAAGTATTTTTGCAGGATTATCAATCTAGATATTTCATCGGTTCATATCTATCTATCTATCTATCTATCTATCTATCTAAGAGTGCTTTTATCTCTTTCAATGTTTTTTCTATCAATCTATCTCATTTTATTTAAGTTACTATTTGTATGTTCCATTTTTTTTTTACAAATTTATAAGAGTGTTCTATATTAATTGTGCGGATAGTAAATAAATCCAAAATGTTATTTTTTGTAAATCTCAGAATGTATGTATATATGCATGTGTCTAAGTCTGTGCATATCTATCAAATATAATTTAATATAATAACTATCTCAAATTGTTCAGATGTATCTATCTCAGTCTATTCATATCTACCTCAATTTGTTCTCATCTATCTTAATGTGTTTATATGTATCTCTCTCAATTTGTTCACATTTATCGATGTTTTGTTTTTTTATAAATTCAGAATAAAGACACTGTGTGGAAGAAAGAATGGATGTAAACTTGGAAAAATATTTTAAGTAAAATAATTCGATTAACGGATCGGAACTAGTTAGTATTTCCATGGGTATTCTCACTATAATCCCTACCATTGTTGTTCTCCTCCTTCTATATTCCGTATCCCTTCAGGACGTTGACGATCATGACTCTTCCCAACTTCCTGTTCTTTTTAGCTCTAAGTAAGGCTTGTCCTTTTCTTCTCTCTCCTAATCCCATTTATACATGCTCGTTAAGCAGGGGTTATTGCTTTTCTCTAGTCCTATGAGTGTCAAATTATCCAAGTCTGCTTTCCTCATTATGTGGCCTAGAAATTTCAGCTTTCTGATTCAAACTACCATTTTCTTTAAAACCTCCTCATTGCTTAAAATTTCATTCCAAGGCATTCTCAGCATCCTTCTGTAGAACCACATTTCTATTAACTCAAGTTTCTTCTTCGTCTATTAGGAGATTGTCCATTATTTAATACCATATAGGATGATTGGTATTACATAATATTTAAATACACTTTTCTTTGTTTCTAATAAAAATTTCCTGTTTCTTAATACTCTGCTTAGCTTTTGGAAGACATATTACCCTATCCCAATGTGCTTTTGTATTTCAGTGTCGCATTGTTCTTGTACTTTTTTTTTGTAATTTTTCAGATATACATTTTATCTTCTTACAAGTGATGTTTAGTCCTTTCTTCTGAATTTCCTTCACTACTTTCTGTATAAGCTGCATCCGGTAGCAAGGTTTTTGAGAAGATTTTTGAGGAGCGTAGAACCACCTCTTAATTTGATCTTATTCCCAGTTCCTCCCTGATCCGGGCTGGTAGCACCTGTTAATGTTCCAGCTATGGGCAAATTGTTAACCCCTAAATTGGGATCAAAATACTATTAGTTGTCTCTAGGGCAGTGATTCTTAACCTTTCTCTTGTTCGCACCCCTTTCAATCCCCTAACCAGTTCTCGCATCCCCTTCCAGAATTGGTGAAAAACAATATTGATCTCATATGTAAATAACAAATCCATTGTGTTTATTTAATCTTGATTTATATAACTGACAACAAAATAATGCATTACAAAAATTAAAATTAAATCGAATTATGCTAATCGTTTTTTTTTTAATAAAATTTTTAAATGAAAAATTTACATTTTTTTATAAAGAATTACATTCGGAAATCTTTTCCGCTCTTTATAAAAACAAACTTCAAACTGCAGTTTTTTCAACTTTACCGCAGTTTTACCAGAAATTTCCGCTCGTTTTTTCCCTAAGTATCCATTTACGCTATTACGATGGTTGCAACTGGTAAAATTTCTACAATGTAAACTTTTATTTCAAGTCGCCAATCACTACACTAGTTTCCTTAATAAAACAACCCTAATTTTTCAGTACCCTTGCACTCCCTACTAACCGATATCGCACCCCCTACTAACCGATATCACACCCCCCTACTAACCGATATCGCACCCCTAGTTATGAACCACTGCTTTATAGTCTTCGAAAACAACTTATCTGCTTTGCTGACAAAGTTAATAGTTGCTGCTGGTTAAAAACGGTTCAAACGTGTTATAATGGTGTGATGTGACGAGTACTTGTTGACTTATCCGCCCACACTGACATGTCAGTGAACAAGCTGCTAAAATTAATGTAGTAATGTTAATTGTAACTGCAAATTGCGTATCACGTAATTAACTCTGTGAAAGTGATCCTCATCATCAGAAACTTAATTAACACTTCTCGAAAAAAGTAACGAATATTACTTGTCCATTATTAAGCAGGTTTTTCCACCGACCATGTAAAAGTCGAGTGTTCCTTTGAAACATTTCGCAAGTTGAAATGGCGTAAAACAAAGAAGTAATTAGCATTAATTTATATTAGGAAATAGTCTTAGAATTTCTAAACTCAAAACGCTCACATTTACAGCAGAAAAAGTATGATTTCAGTTTGAAAACGGAACGTAGATCTTGGTCGGCTTTGCTGAAGGTTTTCAGAGATTATATAGGAAAATGATTATAGCTAAGAAATCAGGCATATTAACATTTTTTCAAATATTCTTCTAAAACAACAGACTACGATGGGTAAATTGTTACCATTTTATATTTTTAATTTCGGGCATATGCGCTTGGTTTGTTTTTGATTTTATTGACTACACAGTATAGTAGGGTCAGTTGGGCGCCATCTGTGAGAAAATTTGGAAACGGCATGCTGTAACGCTCGGCATTCGCACCGGAAGCTCGAATACGAACATTTCAGATGTTTGGGTGTCAATCTGAGGACAATGCAGAGGAAAGTTGGATGAATCTAATGGTGGTTACGAAGCTACGGCATTTCGGAAAACTCACTCTGATCGTTCTGATAAGTAAAGAACTTCCTAATTTGTTGGTGAGGGCCTCAGACTCAACACTGAGGTCTGCATCAAGTGTCTTGAGGAGGTAGTGTTGTCCTGGGTTAAGAGGGTGGCTGCTGGAAGACCCTATGTCTAGCAACAGAACTCTGCACCATGACACACAAGCAGGAGAATCCAGTCATGGCTGTCAGACAATTTCTGCAACCACATCAACCCTTAAATTCTGGCCAGCTAACTCCCCAGACTGCACCACCCTTGATTATTATGTGTGGGGTGCAGTTGAGCAAGAGACCAACAAAACTCCTTGTAACACTAAAAATGAACTGAAAGCGAGGATAATGGCAGCATTCAACAACTTAAACAAGAAGATCGTTCAGAAGAGTTGCAGGAGATTCCAAAGTCATCTGGAGGCCATGGTTGAAGCCAATGGCGATTATATTGAACAAATTTACTGTTTAGTATTTCATGATATTTTTTGTGCAATTTTCGTAAATATATCTGTTATTTTGCAATAGTTCATATTCTGTTAAATATGCACACTAAATGTTTCTTTTTTATTTTCATAATCAATTTTATATTAGTTTTTATTTTAAATAAAGTATTTCATTTTCCCCATGAGTTTTGGCTTCCAACGCTGATTTTAATGGCAGGCACTTGATCTCTAGTCCGATCTGTGAACAATCTTGTCACAGAAACACGCAAACATGAAATCCGATTGAAGTATCACTCCTTTGAAATTGTCTTATCAAACAATAAATACATGTATCAAATTTGTATGAGACACAAATTGACTCTGTTAATAATGAGACAAAAGACATATGAGACAAGAGACATAATACAGAGCCATGAGACAAGAGTTACATTTCTAAAAAAAATCACGCTGTTTGAATGGCAAATTCTTTTATTCTGTTCCAGTCCAATATAACCGTCTGTCTGTCTCAGACAGTCTTTATATTGGTTAACCACTAGTAAGTTTCCTTCTCCGCCCACATTATATAACAGGAGATATATCGGTTTGAAATAGAAGTGGCTCACCAGCCACTACCCATAAGGGTATAATAGTTTAGTTTTTATTAACTGAACAACCAAACTACCCACACATATGATTTGATTAGATTGGTGAAGGCTTGTGTAAAAGCAATCAAACCTTTCGACAAAAAAAAAAAAGAAAAAAAAGACAGCAGAGAAAAGAAAATCTTCCTGAGATTTCAATTGTCCTTCGAGATTATCACCAAAGATCAGAGGGTCCGGTCTTTCTATTTAACCCATAGCTGGGGGAAAATAAATGAATTCATAGTTGGTATTTGAGCGAAAGAGAACTTAACTATTCTTTTAGATATTATCAAGAATGATTTTATTTATACTTTTAATTGAAAAACATCAACTATGAACACGGTCACAATGTGAGCGTGACCTTGTTTTGAAAATAAAACATTCCTATAACTCTAGATACATATATAAAAAAAATCAATACATTGAGTTAAAATTTAAAATAAAATTATCCTTGAAAATGGCTAAAAAATAGCCAAAAGTGCTCAGGCATACAAAACATTCGGACAATTTATAGATAATTTATGTCTAAAAAAGAAAAAATTATGAGAAGACCAGAAAAATTAAATTAAAAACTTAACCGCTGTTAATAAAAGAGGGATTTGCTGCCCAAATACACACGTGTATATATATATATATATATATATGTGTGTGTGTGTGTGTGTAAAGAGAGGAAGAGATTGAAAAATATAAAAACAGGCTGAAATAGATAAAGAGATTGATAAGAACAGACTGAGATAGATAAACAGATAGATAGAATAGCAAAGATCATTGACGCCTACTAAACACGTTGACCAGTAAATTACGAGAGAATAACGCACTGAAAGCTAGCAGATTCTAGCGAATAAAATCTCTAATATTAAGAAACAGAGCAACAATAATGAATAGATAAATAAAAGTTCAAATGACATCGTACAATTTGACGTTTTGCAGAAACAGCGTTCTGCTTGTCAGTTTCAGGTATATCCGAAAGGGATAAGAAAGGTATATCCGAAAGGGATAAGAAAGGTATATCCGAAAGAGATAAGAAAAACAAAAGAAATAAAGACAGAATTTAAGGACATAAGAAAATAATGAAAAAGAGAGATGATCATGCACATACACACACGCGTACAAACACGCACTCACACACATACACACACACACACGCACACACAATGACACACATGCACAAACACACGGAGAAAAAACTCGACCTAAAAAAAACTCAACACAAATTATTTTTAACTTAGTATAGGTTCCCAAGATGCAGACAAAAGAAGCCTAAATACCACAC